CGAAAAGTTAATTCTGTTACCGAATCCAGTGCGATTTGTGTGAAACACGAAACTTGCATTCAAATTTTGATGAACATATATGTATGAGACATGGAAATAATATTTGTAGTGTATATCACTAAAATTATTATTTCAAATAAAAAGAATTCTTTGATTCCACATAAAAATTAGGGGACATACGCAGTTCTCTTAATAGATCAATCTCAGAATATGATATTGTATTTCCAAGATGACGAATTCCAGTGTCAGATATTATCGGGTTCCGTGGACTAAGTTGCACGATGAATTTGACCTTGGCAGGGTTTGAAATGTTAGTCATTATTTATCCTGAATTATTAATTTCAGAAAAAATCAACAAATACATATAATCGAAAATAGATTCATCAAGTTATAGAAAATAACACATCAAAGATATTAATATAAAATATTTCTATTATGTTCCTATAAAGTTTAAGATTGAAATTATTTGTGAAATTTGTTATGTAACAATATTTTATTGTTGAACTGGTTTTAACATGACTATTCATTTTGTTAAATTTTTAAGTTTCTTAGATTTTTCTCTTCTATTGTTCGAATAGAATTCAAGATATAGAAAGTTTTATTATGCGGAAGATAGTTTTGAACAAATTTTTTTAATAATAGTGAATGATGAAACAATAATTAAAATAGGATCAACAGTACTGTAATTGATTAAAATTTGTTTTTTTTTGAATATCTTTTCTCTTAAATAGATACCGCTGTTTGGATCTAAAAAATCACATACACAACACAAGAATACTAAATGAACTTTCGACCGATGATAAACCATCGCTTATGAGCTACTACAGTTGGAATTTTGATGATAATGAAGCAGAAGAAAGAGATGTTCGTGCATGTTTAGGTCTTGGCGATTTTGTAATGTTTAATTTCATGTTGTTATTGATAATACCACCTTTCTTATCCACGAGAACAAAACTATTCATAACTATTGGTCATATTATTACTGTTCAAATTGGTGACGAAATCACCAATCAGCTAGCACAGATTTATGAACAATCGGTACAGCCTGACGTTCCTTTACCTGTAGTTGTTTTTTCATTATATGCTATCTTACTCCATAGTTTCATAGAATGTTGAATTACACAGATTAGAATATTTCTCGTATTTTTTTTTTCTGAACAAAAAATTCATAGAGTTGGTTCCACTAAAAAAAATTCGTGCAAATAAATTGTGTGATTTATAAAACTGAAAAGTTGTATTGCGTAAACGAATTATGGTAATTTTAGTCTCAAATGTCAAATGAATTTATTCTTTTATGTAAGTTTTGAACAAAGAAAAGAATAATAGGATCATGAATTATTAAACATTTTTCGAAATTCTTTATTTAACAACGAAAATGAATTGTATGAATTTTTGACTATTATAATATATAAATCTTTCTTGAAGTCTTCAGCAAAATCAATTTGTGTTTGTTTTATTGTAAAAAATTGAGTAATATAGTGTCTAAGAATAAATAATGTACAAATTTCAAACAAAGGATAGATTAGATTATGTCGAATAAAATTCAGATACAGACTGCTGTTTCTTGCACGATTTTGTTTTTTTACATTGATTATGATGGAAAAAAAAAAATTTGCTTGAATATTTCATCTTTGAATAATATCGACAGAGTTGTAGGGCTGTGTCACGTATACAATGGCCAGTTTGTCTGTTATAATCAACGAGTTATTCATTTTGTAATTGAGTGCACATAGAACAACACACTTATATGCTCGTAACGAATAAAATGATTATTTCTTACTCAATTGAAGATTTATTCAAATGAAATATTTTTGGAAATATTGGAGTACTTAAATGCAGATGATATTTTTGCACTTGAAACACAACACTCATGTATCTTGTTACTTCTAAACTCAATTCCTCTTCTTATCAATATTCATTGCACTTATTTTTGTTGTGAACTTGATTTACCGTCTAATCATTTGAAATTTTATTCTTCATGAATTGTTTCATTGCAAATTCATGATGAAATTTGTAATGAAATAAATGTTATGGCATATCTTTTTTATTGATACGATTTTCTATATCTTCATTCTTGTATATTATTCAATTAATTCGTCATCTAAATTAAAAATTCTTTTTGAAAAATTATCAAAATTCTATAAGATTGTTTTATTTCATATAATTCAATCTCGTAAACATTAAAGAAGACAAACTTAATAGATCTTATACATCTGAATTTAGTCAATTGATTTTTATAGATACATCAACATTTCACTCAGCAGCTCTTTATAATCATTCTTAAATTGCAACAATGTCAATAGTTACAAATCTTACACATTTGTAGATTATCTTTTATGGCATATGAATTTATGTATCTATTGTAGGCAAAATTAAAATTCAGACAAATTTAAAACATGCCTAGACAGAATTAGAATTTGAGTAGAGATAAATTCATATAATCGAAACAATCAAAATTTGAATAGAATAATTTTTTTATTCAAGAATATCTAAACAAGGGAATTTACTGTTACCGTTGGTTATGTTATCAAGTACCTAGTAACGTACAAGTCACTAGTTCCTGGATGCCTGGTAAAGAGTGACTTTTGCGTTACTAATTATCAGGTCAGGATAAGGCCGTATTTCTAGTAACTGCAATGAATAGCCGAAAAGTTCTGACTTGAACAAGGAAAAGATATGTTTGAAAAATGATGATATTTTCTAAGGTCTTATTTTTCAGGTGAACAAGCCAAAAAAATTGAAATATCGATGACAAATAATTCTGATGTGATCAAGGAAACGAGATATTTGTAAAAATCTTTTTTATAAGTCAATCAAGAGAATATAAAATTATACTGTTGTATAGTACTCTTCGTTGGCTATCTATCAAACTATAAAACAATTCGAAGAGCACTTGTACAGAAGAAGATATTCGTAGAAGAAGTTTTCCAGGTTTTTTTGCAAAACACTTGTATAAATCTACAACAAATATTATATTATACTTAAGAATATACGTATATATATATGTATGTGAAAAATAAAAAATAAGATATCTTTTATCAATACTTTTTATTTTGTCTTCAAAACTAATCATGAAAAAGAAAATTTCTATTCTGTATTACTGATTGTTTTGAAGCAAGGCTATTTTTGCTTATCAGTATATTTTCAAAAGCATACACAGCTATTATCAAACTCAAATATACATCGGTTATAAACCGTTTAATCTCAGCTTTTGGTGAGAGATCATTCATAAAGAACGTTCAAGTTCATCTATTTCCTCTATCCAAATTTGTTCAGTTTTATCGATCATTTTCCTTCTCTGAAATGTCCAATATAAAACAAACAACTTTCTAGAAAAGGTCGCTTATTCAAATATACCGCTTCCTTATTATTAAATAACAATTCATTAAAATACATTTCATAAACAACAAACAAAAATATAATTTATTGCAAAATTTTTTGGTTTTTAAAAACACTGTATTTTGAATGAGTACAAAAATAGTAAAAATAAAAAATGATGTTCCATAGCAATGGCACTCAAAAATTCAACAACACTCATATTACTACTGAAGAAAATAACTATCAGCCCATTATAGCATAATCTTCAATGATTTCAAGTCCATATTCATATTCAACTAATTCACATTCAGTTCATTTCCTACTTAAAAATGCTTTTCAAAAAAACAAAATTAAGCTTCAAAAGTACAAAAAGGAAAATAATGAGCGATCGAAAAGTTTTTAGACAACATTAAAACTCATATTTCTTCAAATTAACAAATGCTTATTATATGAATTTTTTTTAACATAAAATACACAAGATGTAAACCTACAAAATTACATAGTCAACGTTTATAAAATGATCCTTTATTTTCTATTGTTCTCAATTTTGTTCGTATGCTATTCATCATGCGTTGGATAATCTTGATAGCAATTTGTTTTATTTTTTGATAAACTCTTCATCTTAATTGTGATTCAGTTTTGCCTTTCAACCTTCCGATATACTCTATTATAAAGCATTGATCAAAAATCTTCTGTAAGTCTAGCTTTTGAAAAGCTTGGTGAATTGACTTCTTTCGGTGTAAATTTGATTTTATGTTGAAGAAGTCATGTATTGTTTCATTTGCATAATGTAATGATGCTAAATTAGGTCAAAACATTCATTCATCATGAGCATCATGTATTTTAATAAATGAAAGAAGTTTACACAAACGTTCATAAACATCGACATTGGCAATAATAGCCGGATCTTTTGTAGTATTAATAAATGGTAGAGCTCGTCGGCTTCAAAGTTTTTAAAGTCATACCGAAATCTGGTCGGGTCTGAGATCAATTCGACGGACTCTAATGAAAAGTCTTCAAATACCTTTTGCTGATAAGACTAAACAGATGAAAACCTCTTTTTTTTCGAATGTTTTTCTTTTGTTTTATGTTTCACATTATTTGAAGCATGTTGTTTATCTAACGAGTAAAAACCAATATTTTGTATCGGCATATCATTATTACAGAAGGTAATATATTTTTCGACATTTTTTGGTACTTGTTGAAATTGTTGTTTTTTTTTTGTATTTTTTCGTGCTTTCTGATGTTAAGAATTATTTCCTTCAAATTATAATGAGTATTTGATTGCACGACATCAAGCTCTCTTGATAGTTTTCTTTGACTGACATCAACACAATTCAATAAAAAACAAATTTATTCCAATAGTTTTTGTAGATATATTTTAACTTTCAAACATTTTGTCTAAAAACTTTTCGATCACCCGTTATTCATAGTAAGTTTCTGAGCATCCACAAACTGTTAGCCCTCTTCCCTTCTGTTCATTTTTGATGTACCTGTTCTCCTCTCCTCTTTACTTAGACATCTTTTATATTTTATCCCTAATGGAAGATTATATATTTATAAGCATACTTTTAGTGATAAACTCTTTTTTTATGATCATAATATATATTTTATAGTATTGACGTCTTTTTAACGATTTTCAAGTATTTTATGTGATATATAATCATGAAAAATTGACAATAATGGCATCTAGTAAAATGTCATCTACATTATATCTTAAGTATTTAAATGATTATATAAATATAAATTTAAATGATACTAATGAATATTTAATTGAAAATCTTAATCAATCTTATTTTGATGAAATAGAAAATCATGCACGTTTTATTCTTGCTGAATGGTATAGTGAACAAATAATTGATGCACAATCATTATTATATATTAAAAATGTTAGTTATCTTAATCGTAAAATAATTTTATTAACATATAAATATTCTTTAAATAAAAATCAAGTTGAACGTATTAAAAATCTTCTTTTTAATTCTGAAATTATTCAATTATTAACATCAATCATACAATCAATTATTGAAACAAATTTACGACATCAAGATAATTTTCTTTATTATTTATCAATATTAATTAATGTTTATTCAATTGTAAAATATTCAAAACCAATTTTTAATCAAATAACTAAACAAGCAATTCAATCAAAATATTATAAACAATATTTAACTGAATTATTTTCAATAAATATTCAACCAATACATTTATTTTTTATAGGTACTATTGGTCAACTTGCTCAACCTATACATGATTCAACATTTAATGAATTATATTCAAAATTTTTTACAAAATTTTATAATGAAAAAATTTTATCTGATAATAATGATTTACATTATTGTACATTAGGTATACTTTCTCAAATAGATATTTCATATTTAATAAATGATTATTCATGTATATCAATATTATTATCAATATTTATAAATTCATCATCAAAATTTGCAAAAGAAAATACAAAAATTTTACTTTTACCTATTTTAAATATATTTAATTTACTTTGTATACAATCAAAAACTGTTGCTTGTTATTTAAATAGTGATCAATTAATTGATATACTTCTTCAATATATAATAAATCAACAAAATTATCAATTAAATATTAATGCTTGTCTTTTACTTGGACATATTATTAGTGAAAAACAATTAATTCAACTTCGAATCAGTTATAAATTAACAATGAAATTTATGAATTTATTATATTGTTATAAACAAGAAATAAAAAATATACTTCAGAGTTTGTTATCATTAACAATTCATGAACAAATACAATACATTATTGCAGATACTTATCAATTACAAAATCTTATTGAATTAAGTGAAAATTATCCAATTATTTATGATATTATTTGGAAACTTTCATTTCATTCGGATATTTTAGAACAATTAATTAAACGACATAATGATTTTCTTGAAAAATTATCATCATTATCAAATATACCAGCTGCAAATGGTATATTAGAAAATATTCAAATGAGAAATTTATCTCGTTTACCAATAAAAGATGGAATATCATTTGATATTGCTCTTATTTCATCTGTAAAAGATCGTCTTGTTGTTCAATCCATTCAAGAAAGTTTTGAAAAATTTGGTTTTCGTATTGGTACAATACGTAATTCATTCAATATTCTTTTATGTATAAGTGAAGAATCAAAACATGATTGTACATGTCAAGCAGCTATTCGACAAGCTTTACTTGATTGTAAAAAAATTATTCTATGTATTGTACAAAAATCATATCGTTTCGATGATTGGTTTAATATACTTAATATTGACGAGAAAAAACTTTTTAAAATAACTGAATCTAATATAGAAAAAATGATATCTGAAATTCAAATCGATCTTAATAATAATAATAATAATAATAATAATAATAGCCATAATTTACCAGCTATTGTCAAACATACTCAAATAGTTACACCTCTTCATCGAACTTCTCATACTAATCTTACATCATCTTCTTCATCACCAAAAGTACAACTACCTACAATATCTTCACATGTTCAAACAAAAAAAATTCAAAATTGGACACATCAAGAAGTACTTGAATGGTGTGCTAAAAATAATTTAAATGCTTTTACGAAAATTTTAACACTTTATGATGGTCGTAGTTTAATTGCACTTGCACATATATCACGAATGAATGCACCACATACAATTATGAATCAATTACGAAATGATTGTCGTAAACATGGTCTTAAATTATCATTTGTTGAATTTGTACATTTTCAAGCAGCACTTGATGAACTTCTGCGTTTCGAACGAAATCAAGCAAGAAAACAGTCCGTATCAACATTAGCTACACGTTATGTATTTAAACGAAAAAACAAGAAATAAAATTTAATTTATTTGTAAAATTTTTAATTTAAATAATAGTTATTGTAAAATTAACTAATAGAATTTGATTAACTAAACTTTTAAATAAAATTTCAAAAGAAGTTTTTTCTAATTTTTCTCTTGGTCTACCAATTAATTTATATATTCCATTAGTATTATTTGTTAAATAAATTCCTTTAGGAAGTAATCGATGTAAACATGGATCCCAAAGATAATGAACTATATTATTATTTGTTTGATCAATAATATATTTTGGTTTCATTGGTTTATTTATTTTAAGTATAATATTAGATTGATTGTTTGATAAACTATAATGTTTTGTATATCGATTAGTTAGACAATTTAATTTAAGAAATTGTTCACATGTATTACATGGTGGACAACAATCACATAAACATGAATCATTTGTTTGAAAAGGATTACATAGAATTCCATTTGAAGTACAACTTTTTGATCCATAACATCCACAAGAAAAAATTATATGAAAATTATGGAAAATAATACATAGAAAAATGAGATATTTGTAATCGAACATTATTTTAAATTAATAGATTTAATCTAACATATAGAAAAAAGATTCATTTTTGTTATTTGTCAAGAGAAACATTAACATGATATAAATCCTACCTGATAAGTGATCTATTTTGATTAAGATTAATGATATTTTGAAGCAAAATATCAAATAATCGATTTTTTTTTTCTTTCTAAAAATAAGACCATTTAAATATGTATGATCCAATGACTTAATAGACTGATATGTCTTACGATTGGAATAAGAGAATTTATAATAAAGTCTTTTTCTGAAACAAAATTCAACTGAATCATATAAGAATATCAATCTTGTATTAATTTCAAACAAAGTATTAAATGTAACAAAAGTTTTGCAACATTCTTTCTTTAGCAAATATCCAAGTTGATAAGGAAACCTCTCCAAATGTCAAATCGCTTTTCGACTTAGACGATATTCATTTGATGAGTAATAGAAAGGTCTAGAATAGTTTTGTTTTCCGGGCTTTCGTTCTTGAGATACCGACATTTTACAGAGTTTTTCAACAAAAAGATGTAATCAAGTGAAAAATTGACTCTCGAATTTCGATTTCAAATTTCGCATGAATAAAGTTCTTAATAAGATTAATCCATTGGGCATGTTGTAGCTTTTCTAATATCTTCTTTTCTGACATATTGAATATTCGAAACTCTCTCATATATGAAAACAAATACCATTCTAGACCTTTCTATTACTCATTAGCACTCATCATATGAACATTGTCTTGGTCGAAAAGAGATTTGACACTTGGAGAGGTTCTCTCAGGAGAAATAATGCATCATCCAAAGTATCTTATCAGAAGATGCTGCATTTGATTCTCTACAAACTTGTATTGACCTTTATTGAAAATAACAGAATATAAACTTTCGATAAACATGCCTTCTGTGACTCAGTGAATGAAGTTTACATCCCCAATATATTTTTTTATTCTACCGACGTTCTTTTTGAATTATAAACAGCAGCGCAAGAATCTTTGTACTTATGATTCGAGTCTTCACAAAATGTTCTTTCAATAGTGTTTGTATATATTTGATCATAGCTTATTTTTGTTGTGACGGCAATGACTTATCTGAAGTTCTACACCAAAAAAAAAAGATGTTTGTACAGTATTCAAATCCTTCTTTTGGATTAATCGTTTTACCAAGTGATATCTGACTGACAAATAAACAGACAAAATAATTTTTCATACAATTCTGCAAAAAGAAAAAGAATGGAATCTAAAAATAAATAACATTTCTAGAATGTCCGTTAAAAAATGAGTAATCACTGAAGGAAATTTCGCTATTCTCAAAATATAACATACTATTCAATCTCGAGAATGTGCATTTAAAATACTTCATAAACATACATAATCGGCAGTACCTTTCAAATACTGTTTAACACACGATTGTTTTTTTTTTCAAAACTAATATTTGTTTTCACAGAAAGAATACAATACTAAACAACAGATGAGAAGTAAGTTCCATTTACTAAGTCACAGAATGCAGTTTATCAAAAGGCTATATTTTATTGTTATAAATAAATTTCCATAGAAATTTGTAGAAAATCAAATGCTGTGTCTTCGTATAGAAAACTTTAGCTGATATGTTATTTCTCAGCTTGAATATTTGCCAAAGAAAGAATGGTGCAAAAATCTTGGTACACTCGATAGTATAAGTAGTATGACAATGAAAATTGAGATAAATACATGAGCAGATAACCCGAGATCTGAACTTTCATAAATGGCATGACTTTTTTATTTGACACCTCGTTTTTTCCTTGGCTTTGTTATGATCTCCATAATTTTCTGATTGACAAATATGCTTGGTCTCTATTTATGTTCTTTTTTGATCGCATAGCTCGGAATTCTCTATGGGCTTTGATTCTCCTCTTATAATTAGAGCGCCATATTTTGAGATATTGAACTTTTTATCGTTTAAAAAGTAAGAATTAAAAAAAAAGAGCTCTGTTATGTTCTGCATCTTGACATATTCTTTTAAACAAAAAAGATTAACTGTACAAAATCAAGGCCTACAGAGAATTTTGAGTTGACAAAATGAGCTATTTTTGACTCTTCTCTGTTGAATATCTCTCTCGAGCATGATAGTACAGAGTTGAAAATTTTACTAGAGGCCTTCCCATATAGTTCCAATATAGCCTGAGAATTTCATGCAATTTGAATGTACCTGTCCCAAGATTGATTTTAGAAGAGGACCTAAAATTTTAAAAAAAGTCTAATCAATAGCAATGGCCAGTATTATATAATTCTAATTGAAATATTCTTTTGAATTTTTGTCTAAAACTTATCAATCAAAATTCATTATGATATTCAGTATCTCAAAAAAATATCCTTTTTATTTTTTATTTTTTGCTTTAAATTCCTGTCAAATAAATTATTTTGAAAATTGAAGTTCTTATATTGCAAACAATGTACACGTGTATTAATTGATCATATTCCAAATGAACTAATTTATGGACATAAATATAAATATTATCATATAGACCAATCTTTCAATAAAATATATATTGAACGAAAAAATTGATCAAATATTTAACAAAAAATACAAATCATCGAAGAAATTTATATTTATATTTATATATGATAGTAATTTAGATATTGCCAAGAGAAAAATGCATAAAACATATTCTGTTTCAGGGTTTATGACATATATCTGATTAAAAAAAAAGATCTGCTTCAAGCGTTCAAAAATGTCCTTAAAGGATGTATGAAAATCTTTTCAACACAAGTCGAGGTTATATTAGAAAGGCATTTATATATGTGCGTGTGTGTCTATCTTTCTTTTTCACTGTTCTTTTTTTTTGTATGTTGTATATTAGATTTATATTATAACTTTTAAAGTTCAAAAGAAAGAAAAATGTATTGGCCTGCATATCCGTATCAACAATATAGTCGTCATTATTACATGGGTCGCTTAATTGGGGAAGTTATGCCACATTGTAATGTTCATCATTTAATGCGTCTCGGTCGTGAATCACAAGAATATCCTGATTTTATGCTTGCTTTACTTAATATTAAACCAGGTATGATTGTAGCCGATATTGGTGCTGGTGTCGGTTACAATTCATTACGTCTTGCTCGTCTAGTTGGACCATATGGACGTGTTTTTGCAACAGATATTCAATCTGAAATGCTCAATCAATTAATGACCAATGCATATACATTAGGCCTTTCAAATAATATAATACCTATATTAGCTTCACATTGTAATGTAAACCTTCCACCTAATTCTTGTGATCTCATTCTTATGCTTGATACATATCATGAATGTATAAATCCACCAGCTGTATTAAGTGGATTACATCGAGCATTAAAACCATACGGTCGACTTGTTCTAGTTGAATATCGTTTAGAAGATAGTTTGACACCGAATATGTATGATGATCATCGAATGTCTACTGGTCAAGCCAGATTTGAACTTGAATTAAATGGATTTTTTTTATCACAAACTTTTGAATCACTTCCTTGGCAACATATTCTTATTTTTAATAAAAAATAAACTATAGATTTTTTTTTTTTGTTTTACAAAAAAATGATATGAAAGCATAACTTGAAACAGGGATGTCCCGAGCAGGTAGCAAGGTCAAGAGTAGAATTCATTGGGTTTATCTCGGATCCAGATCCGTATCTGAGCCTAGTCGGGATCAGGTTCGACGGACTCTACCCTACACATTTCTCAGACGAGTCGTCTGAGAAATGTATCGGGTGCACTGATCACCGAATACAGAAAAAAAAGTGTTTCGTATCGTTGGAGCGGCTATCCTTTTTCGATTAGAAAATTTAATTGAAAATATTAAAGTACGGTTCGACCAGATCCGAGTCCGAAAAATCTGAACCTGGCAAGCTCTATTCAGGAGTTGACCGCTATTCCCAGTCTTGGAAAATTTTCGTGTTTTCCCAGCACAACTGAATAATTTTCTTTAATTTTTTTTTCGCTTACCAATTCGTGCGACAAGGATTGACCTCCTCCGTCATGCCGTGAACCCTACCTTCTCAGTAGTCACACTATCCCTTCTATCTTGGTGACCTCAGAACACATCTGATTTGAGACATTTTATGTTATATATGTATTGTTTATCTTTTATGACCTTAATGAACGGAAGGTATTAATGTTGACAAAAATCAACATTATTTTAGTTACAAAATCGAAAGTTCTATTCTATTTTTTATTTTGTTTTTGTTGATCAAGATGATTAGATTCTATGTTTACTGACGCAATCGATCTCTATTTCTATTCGTATATATGATTTAGCTAAGAGATCATATCGTTTACATGAGATAATTTTGTATATTTAATATGAATTTTCTTCGAGTGTTAATGAGACAACATATACAAACAATGATATTGAGGCTTCACGTGTCTCAATACAATATTATTCATCAACTAATTATCATTGAATCAACGGAACATACATACTTATATATATATATATATATACATATGTATAATTAGAAAAAATAACAAAATAGATTCTTTACATTCCTTCAAAAAAAAAGCAGATGCTATAGACCGTTTGAGAGAGAAAAAAAATCAACTTGAAAAAGTAATGATTATGTCATGAACATCCTCTGATAATGGGTTTATATGGCGCCTATTGAGTATAAAAACATACACGTGTAGAACACCTGCCATTAAGATAAAAGTAAATGTAAAGAATATTGATGTAATGAACGGAAATATGTTATTGTGTTTTTTTTTCCTCAAGTAAATATATGTAACTTTGTTTTTGAAAGATTTATATTTTTTCAAAAAAAAAAAAAAAAAAAGAAAAGAAAAAGATATACTACAAACAAACAAAAATTCACCATGGTCTCCAAAGAGATGATGAACGTTCACTATTATCATCAAATGATGATGGACTTGATGTATTTGAACGTTCAGATGATGATGATGATGATGATGAATCAGGTAGTGATTTTTGTTTTTCACCACCACAACGATTAAACCATTCATTAACAATTGAATGATGACTTGTTGTTTGTCTATAAGGATGAAAACGACGATTATTTGATGTTGATAAATGTTTTAAAAGATTTTGTCGTTGAATAAATGATATTTCTGGTATTGTATTAAGAAATGTTGTCATATCATTTGTACATTGTTGATAACCTAATTCATAATTATGTTTTATTGAATTTAAATGTACATTTGTTTGTTTGACAAAATCAACACACATTTCAAGTATTTCAGCTTTTTCTAATTTTTGATAACGTGCTTTCTAAAATATATAAATAATTTTTGTATTTGATGTTGATATTTCTTTTTTTCTCTTTTTATTTACTTACATCACAATGAATAGCTAATAAATCTTTTAATTCATCTAAACTTCGATTAATACGATCACGTCGTTTTTTTTCAACATATGTTTTTGCAATCTAGATTAATAAAAATAAAATTTAACAAAAAAAAATAATAATTTTATTGATTTTCTTACTTTACGTGAACCTGAATGATATTCAAATTCTTCTATATCAATATCACTTCCACTAGTATTATACATATTGCTTCCGTCTGACTCTCAACGTCGTTTTCAATATTGAACTGACTATATAGAAAGAATAAAAAAAAAAAGTTCAACTTTTTTTTCTAATATTTTTCTCTCTCTCTCTTTCTGTGCGTGGTGTGGTCTCCCCTATGTTTTGTATTGGTCAATAGAAGATTGAATAACCAATCTCTTTCTGTTCTTTTAATCTATATTGTCCACATAAATGAAAATAAGGTGTGACAAAAGAAGACATGGTCAAACTTAACCGGCTTTTGTCACTATGTATATACACGTAAGAGATGTGACTATGAGAACGGAAGATGTGATTCCCACGATTGAGATCAAAGAAGGAGACGCCTATGTACACACGTCGTCAATCATGTATATATATATCCCAATGTTGCACGTGTATGCACGAGTTTCACATGTAGAAATATTTAAAAAAAAAAATGATGATGCATATCGTTGTTCATGTTGAGAAATGTAAATAAAAAAAAAAATCTATATATAAAGACAAATCGGAAAGATCAAAACGAAAAACAACAAAATAAAAATTCATGAATCAGTAACAGCAGGCAGGTGAATTTCATATTACACACTAAGACTGCTGCGATAAATGTTGTATGTGTCTATATTCACGCGCTCCGCCTACTGAGTATGCGGACACTTGAACATTAGTAAATCATTGAAGTTCATATGTCGGAAAAAAAAAGAAAAAAGCAAAACTACAAACAATGAAATAACGATGTTCATTCAAGTGCATTCACTGCTGCTATATATATATATATATATTGATAAGAGAGAACATTTTACTAACATAGTTCTTACATCTATAGATGTATGTTCACTTTATAGAATTAAATTTCGACTTCCTTCGTCTATGGATGAGAACACAATGAAGAGGTAGAGATGGCGGGCAGAATTATTTTAAAATTGAAATAAATAGCCGACCGATAGCTTTGAACTTATGAACATTCAAATACACACGACAATGACAATGCATAATTGTTAAGTGTTACCACCTCCCTCAAGCAATAATTGACTCATGAGCAATACAATAGTGTTTCCGAAATGACTGAAACTAACCTTCTCCCCCCCCCCCCTTCAAAAAAAATTGGTGAGAAAAATGAACACATCTTCAGAATATATATATATATATGTATATTAACAATTGATCTTATGGCACTTCTTTTTATTGACAAATTGGGAATTTGATTCCCTTTAGAGTTGTTGTCACCAGTGAGTTCTTTCTTTCTTTTCTTTTTTTTCATTTGACAGCTACAATCACTGGTCCGAGCAAAGATCAAACATATACCACACGTACACACCTATTGTGAAAAAAAAGAATAAGAATAAAAACAATCAAAGCACACCCGAGATTGTGTGTGTGGGTAGTGACTTGAAACGTATGCGCATCGATTTTCAAAGACGACAAGCTCAACTGTACACATCAGACAAATACTGCTGTTGTTCTTTTCTTAGACGAAAGGTGATAATTGAAAAGTTGCTTATGCTGCTACTACCCAGGTACTACTTTAATTAGACATGCGACACTATTGTTCATTTTTATAAATATATTGTCTATGAAAAGCGGCATTTTGATCTTAGTATGTGAACTCAATTGATATTGAGAAAGATAAAAATATCTAAATTAAATTCGACAACAATACTATAGCAGCCATGTCAAATGAATATTTCAATAAAATTTTCCGTGACTCATGATCATTTTATCTATATGTTCTGTCTATCATAATAATGTAGAGATTGGAATGTATGCGTGTATGTACAATAGACATACGATCGTTTACGGATTTTGAATGCACGCAAGCATGATAATAGTGTATGGTCAATTCACACGAAAAACGTCAACGATGATGATGATGATGATGATGAGTTAAGTATGTCATTTGTTATTTGGTTTGAAAACAAAAAGACAGCTTATTTTGGAATGTATTGTCTTTAACATCTAATTGGATAATGATTGTAAAAATGTGAATAGTTTATATTCTATTTGATTCATTTAAACGGAATCAAGTAGTTATTTTCTTTTTCGTTTTGCTATTGAATAAAACAATAAGCCTACAGGCTTTTATAAGATCCCAAGTGATCACAAACTGTTTGCTGTAAGTTATGAAATCATCATACATCGTGTTCACATTCAATGAACTATGACAATCTCAATATCAATCTTTTGTGATCGCACTTATACGCGCGCGCCTACATTCAAAAATACTCTTCAGGCGCCGAGTTTATATACATCAAAAGAATGTCATCGTCTTCTGGGAAAGAAAAATCAATTGCAAATAATCTTTAAGAAAGGAAAAGAAACGAAAAAAAAAAAAGGTGTGCACGTTCATTCGATAGATGATGTAAACATCTATTGTATTCTTATCTTTTGTATATTGATCATCATCATAATTTTAGTGGGCAAAAGACCGCGCGCGCGCTGTCTCTCTCTCATATACATACATACATACATATATATAAGGATGAGCATATATATATACACACGCACCTACTTCTTTCATGTATGTCGTGCTTCTCATATATATAAGAATCAGATTCAATTATGTAATAGATCACTACTCCTTCTTTTTTTTTTTGCATGTTAAGACAAGTCACAAGACGATGACTTCATCAGAGAATAAAAGACAACAAAATATTGACGTATCTAACAACTAGTCGGCTAATATCAAATAATGAAAAATCACGAGTATCATTATGCCATTCAAAAGAGAGAAAAATAACTCTAGATGTAGTCATTCTATCAAACGTATAGACGATTGTTCTTGTTAAAGACGAACGAACAATAACATACGAAGTAGTACTAGTAGTCATTATATACATCCACACACCTACCCGTCATTTGTAATGTGTATCCATCAATAGATCCATTTGGCTGGCTGACTGTCATCATATTCAACTTTTATAGGTCATCATAATGTTGAATATGAAACAAAAAAAAAAAAAAAAAAGAAAGCAACGAACGAAGACTAGAAGCATCAATAACTAGGTGTTAGTTGATTGTGCAAGCACACTTTACTTTTCATTATATATATATATCATTTTTGACTTCAATTATCTCCGAAAGAATAAAAAAGAAATGATGACTTCTTAACACATTTTTCATCATTATCTCAATTTTGCTCACCATGAACTGATATTAAAAATACTTGTCAAGTGATCGAATACGAAGGAAAATTATTCTCAAGATTGTTCTAGATATTAAAAAAATAATGTTATTTTCTTTAACATTTCTCACGACTATTAGATGATAATCTGTTTGAATAATTTATATATTCAAAAACACACATACACAAAAAAAAAGAAGAAACGAAAAGAAAAAGAAATCATTCATCACTGTGATAAAGTTCTTTTTATGTCTATTTACATATATGGTTTCCAAAGTTTTGGTGATGATGGACTAAGAGAACTAGATGAACCATTTGATGATGATGATGATGATGCTGATGATGCTGATGATGGTAATGAAGAATATGGATTATTAGGATTGCTTATTGATGAATGATTAATAAGAATTTTAAGACAAGATGATGATTGTTGTTGAGAATATTGTTCATTTGTTATTGTTGTTGTTGTTCGTTGTTGATATGGATGAGGATGATGATGATGATGATGAGTAAATCGACGATTTGTCCACATTTGTCGACAACGATTAGCTAAACGTTCACGTTGTTCAGGAACAATATTTGGTAATGTATAAATTAATTTCCACATTTCTTCTGAACATTGTCTATAACCATTTTCATAATCTTCAATTGAATTATTCATTGTACGTTTTAAATTTCGAATATAATTTACAGTCATTTCAAGTATTTCGGCTTTTTCTAATTTTTGATATCTTGCTCTCTAATTTTAAAAGAAAAATTTCAATGAAAATTTATTTTATGAAAACAAAGAAAAAAAATTCTTTTACTTCATCAGTTAATGCCATAAGATCTTTTAATTCATCAAGACTTTTATTAATACGATCACGTCGTTTTTTTTCTACACATGTCTTAGCAAACTATATTAAATAAAAGAAGAAAAATGACAAACGAAAGGTGTTGAAAAGAAAAACATTTGAGATAACTTACTTTTCTTGAAGTTTGTTCCGATGCATCGGAATAGTCACACGTCAACATCATAACTCAGTTCAAAAGAGAGTGAGAAAGTGTTTGGTAAGAATCAACTACGCGTGTATATATATATTTATATATGTATATACGTATAGGTCGATTTCGAAATGTCACCCGTCGCAGCACACGTCTAATAGCAATTTGATGAAGATTTTTTTTCGCTTTTTGCTTTCGCTCTCTCTCTCTCTCTCTTCGCTTCTTTTAACGAAAGAAAAGGAGGGAGAAAAAAAAACCGATTGGACACTATTCCATAGCGTCCCTTTGCGAACGAGAGACGCGTGCGAGAGATAGATGTTTATTTTATACCATGAGAAGCCTTTCCTATGTGTGTTTGTATGTGTGCATATACATATACACACACGGCGGCGCGCGAATTCTGACAAGCAAATGGAGTAATAATGTTACACCATTTGAAAAAAAGAAAAAAACGAAAAAAAAGAACTTTCGTATATTAAAAAATATCGATAGGTTCTATATAATTTTAGTCAATTGCCTTCGATAGTATCTTTCTTTCTTTCTCTTTTTTTTCTTTTTTTTTTTGCTTACTATCATTTTTATTGATTGACACCACGCGTCTAGGCGCGCGCACAGCGTGACGATGAAATTATTCAGTTAATTATTATAAAAAAGAAAAAAAAATGAAGACCAAATAAATATAAATGATAACACAAACCAATGACGATCGATAAGACTCTGTATATCTATTGGTTGTTTAAATATACATTAACACACCAATGTACATTTCAATTAAAGAGAAGAAGAAAAAATGGAAAGTCTTAGGAGTTTTTTTTTTTTTGTATTCTTTTTGATCTTGCCTTAATAAATGATTTGTATATCGGTTGGGTAAACTAAGAATTAGACAAGCATCTGACTGGTGTTCTCCAAAGGTTTCCTCACATAGCCACGTGTTTTGAACTTTAGAGCATCAAAGATTTCTTTCTTTTTTTTTGTTCTATGTTAACAATAGTCTATTTGTCAATGCATTGAATTTGATTGTCAAGGATGGGATTCATACATCGTTTTCTCACCAATGCCCAGCCCATCATATTTTTTTTCGCTTTATTTTATCAGCGGCTTGTCCATTATAAAATGCATATATAGCTTTTTTTTTTGTTTGATGTGATCCGATATGAAGAAAAGTGCGTACCGTATGGGCATTTGTTTTAATTGAGTGAATATGTGCACACATTCTTTCCCATGCCTTTAGAAACGAAGAAGAAAAGTTAGGAGTGTAAAATGAAGAGAATATTCCATAATAAATATAGATGATTGAAAAAGGAAAAAAAAAACAAATTATGAAAATCACTTATTAGATCATATGTATTCGTTTCTCATATATATATTGAAATTTTCTATTTCTTATAAAATAAGAATATGTATTGGCTTCGAAATTGATGTGTAATATTTTGTTTGAGATTTTTTTTTTCATTTTGTCTATACTTGAAAGATAGACATATACATACACGTTTCTCCCTCCCTCTCTCTCTCTCTCGCGTACTTTCGATAGTAATAAGTGAGGGAATGATGAAACCTTGTAAAAAAAAAAGACACTTTTAGGTTGCTTCATCACTATGTTACTTGTATATACTTGAACCAAGCAAAAAAAAAAAGAAAAAAGAAAAGCATCATTCATTGAAGTGTTATCTTTCTTTAGTATAAACTTGGAGTTTTCTTGACTAAAATTTTATATTCATTTCTTTTCTAATTATCATCATTTTTGGTCTAAGTTTTAGAGGTTTCTTTGTTTTTTTCGTATGATTCGTCACTTTTTGTAAATAGTAGTATGATTTTTTTTTTCATGTGTAAGTTTGATGTTCGTCCAATTAAAAGTTTCGAATAACGACATTTCTAAGACATCATGAGAACGTGTTTATATATTCACACGGCTGCCTAGGTTATTTTTCTAAACCAAAAAAAGAAATACATTTACTTCTCTTTTTCATTTTTTTTACGTAGTGTTAAAGTAAAACTACCATTCGTCACACACATCCACATACACAAGTCATAATTCAATGATTGACTCAGTCAAGTGACATTCGAAAATCAAAGATCAATATCGCACGCACGAATGTCTATTAGAGATATGTGTATATAGAATATGGATGTTGTTATTGTCTGGATTGAAATAGTGACACGATGATGAATATGTGTCATGTAATTAAATTGGATGCAGTTTAGATAGTTCATTTTTTTTTTTGACCTATGATATTCAATTATTTCCTTAAAATGGTTCGTCACGTATAAAAATATGTTGACATATCAATTAAATAATCGTTTTCGTATTGATTATGAAAAAAATTTTATTATGATTTTTCTTTTTCTTTTAAAAGAGAATGCAGAGAATTTCAATATTGATCGTAAAAGTACAAATGTAATCACGAAACTTAGAAGATGATAATGATTATAATCGTTGCTTCTGTAATTGTTTTTTTCTAATAGAACTTATTGCTAAATCGTATTTAATTCATTTTCAGAGAATTTTCAAAATTACTTTACTTTTTTTTTTTTAACTTCAATTATATATTGAAATGGGCAAAAAGAATAATTCGTTGACATTATAACTTTCTAATAGCTTTCTCACATCAATCAGTAATATAATTATTCAATGTCAATATAAAACTGTCAACGATACAGATAAATGAAAGCAAGTTTTCTTTTTTTTTTTTTGTTTTAGACTTTAGCATCAGTTATTTATTCAAATAATCGTATTTGTTAGAAGATAAATTCGAATTTTTGAAAGACATTTAAATTAAATTTAGTGGAAAGTACAATTAATTTAAAACAAAAAAAACATGATGTATCTCATTCTAGATGCATATCATTAGATTCGTTTTGTTGGACAAGGATAAAATTTGAAGGAAGATATAGAATACAAGATAATTGATAGATTAATTTACTGAAAATTATATTATTACAGATCATAATGAAAGTTATATTCATCTCATACATAGTTGATAATGATTGTTGATTTCGAAGGAATTTACTTATTCACATCAAATAGTTTGTGAGTGACATAACGGTTTCAGCAAATATTTTATAGGATATTGTTATGACACATAAGGTTTTCTTCTTTAGTTATAGAAAAAGAAACAATGTATAGTGTAGAGACTTGATCTTTTCTTTTCTTGTTTGAAAGCGCAAAATGTCTAAAACAAAATCGTATCAAAGAATTTGTTCAGCAAAGTTTTGTGAAGGTCAGAAATATTTTAGAACAAAAGGTATTGAAAAACGCTTTCACAACTTTTTTTGAAGTTCGTTTAATACTTCACCAAATACGAAAGGTTTTTTCTTTTTTTGTTTTCTTCTTTTCCGAGTTTTATTAGGTACAGACAGCGCACTATTACCGCAACAAGAAAAAAAAAGCAATATCCCACATATTATACAACGATCGATATGAACACTTTGTAACATCCCCGGTTGTCACTGATCGGAGTCGAAAACTGAAATTCTACTCTGAGAGAGAGAATTTATCAAAAGCCACATATATTATATGAAAAAGAAAACTTATTCAATCCTCCAATAAACAATATTATTTGCATTAGGACATATCCTCTCTGCCAACTGTTATACTCTCGATCAATTATTTTAATATCACACGAAAACTATTGTTGTAATAAATAGTTATATACATATGATTCTAGAGAACGTCGAAAGTAGGCAACGATAGAGATCAAATAAATATATTTCAATGTAAAAATTATAACCAAAGTTGCATAAGAGTTTTCCAATATTTTTTGCTCTAAAATTTTTTGTAGTCTTCAAAGAACATTTTTGCACTGGACATCTTGCTTTTTCTAATAAAAAAAAAAAAGATAAAATCCCTATAATACTGCATTGCAATGCTATATAAAAAAGAAAATTAATGCAAAAATTTCGTCCCCACTCGTTCATTGTTTAATATGTATATAACGATTTTTCGACATTGTCTTATTTGTCAAAGTCATATTTTCTTTAGCTTCTTCTGGGTAAAACATCATTTATAATAGAATGATGTTTGTTAAAGTAAAATAGGAAAAATAAAGAATATTTTCATTATCTTTACGGATAATTAATCGTCAAAGAACTAAAGCTGAAGATTATTTTTGTTAAATACATATTTTCATCTGATTTCTTTTTTAAATTAACCTGGTACAATCGATTTTGTATATACATTAAGCATTTGATTTCATAATGATATGGTTGATGTTTAAAAGTTTCACTAATATACTGAGTAAAATATTTTTCAATGCTTAGATTATCATTGTGTCTTGTTTTTTCTTTATATTTCTCATCGATCATAACGAAGAAAAAATAGTGGGCTTTCAAAAGAGCCTCAACAAGTGATAAATCTACTCTTTTCTTGTTGAATTATAGCCATTTTAGTATCTATCATTCTCATATGGCAATATTGGACATTTTGTTGTATAAAAATGTAAACTTTATTCTGATGTCTATATTGCAAGATGGAAGATGCTAGAAAATTTGATACTCTGACAATGAGTTATTCCTATTGAAAAATTTCGAATTCAAAATTTGAATTCGAAAGTCAATGTTGAAAGCGATCTAAGAGGAAGTATAACATTTTGATGAGAAAAACATCACGAAAAGACTTAACTGTATGGATCCTTTTAGAGTTTTTCAGTTTTCAATAAGATTTATCTAATGACATAAGACTTATCTTATAAGCAATTTAACACTTGGCGAAGTTTTTTCGTTAGAAATCTAGTCGAGTATGGTCGAAAGTTTCTTGTCAAATATGTCTGAAGAATATTTTTAATAGATTCTTTACGAATTATTCAAATCTTCATTACAAAAGTATTTCTCGTTTCTTGAATATCGTATAACGACTATTATTTTCATTAGTCTGTAATAGATTTTTTTCCAAAAAAAAAAAAAGGAAATTAAAAAGAAAAGAATCAATTTATATATAATAATATTTAAATATTAGTGTATAATCATGGATGGTGCACGATCAATTTTCTAGGATAATTAATAAAGTTTTGAATAGATCTATTTTGTTTTCCCTTCTC